GCTCTCTTCTGTTTGGAAGGCTGAGTAAGGTGACATCCAGTGACATCTAGATGGGAGACGTCCAGGGAAAATTCAATTTGCTGCAAAAGGTGTTAAAGCACATTTAGAAAACATGGACTTTTCTTATGGGTCAACAAGAAGCAGTGCCAGAGCATGATACCACCAGCACCCCTAGGGTATCAGTAGACCCTGTCTGGCCTCTGGGGCTCCCCCACCCTGCTCATGGTCCAGGACCCCATGGCAGCCCCCATGGCCATCAGCCCCTACAACAATGATGTTGTGGCAGGGCCAGCCTCCAGGTGCCCACAGCCTGCCCAGCCATGGGTGCTGCCAAAGCAGGCCCATGTCCCATCCCTATCATCATGGCCCTGCCTGGCAACTGCAGCACGTGCTCTTAACCCTGGCCAGCAGACTGACTTCCTGGCCTGACCGCAGACCTTCACCATCACTATGAGGTTTCCTGGATTCTTGATTGTACCTGGCCCCCACCTGCAGGTCTGTCCTGCTCTCACCTCTGTGGGTGGGTTGGGCAGCCCTGGGCAGCAAGGGTCCAGCATAGGGAACCCCACAGCTCCCGACACCCGTCCTGCTGGATGACATGCAAGGTCCTAACTGCTTGTGAGCATTTAAAATTCACATCACATCTTTTTCACCAAAAAAGGAGCATTATCTCCTGGGTTCTAGTCAGATTCTGTTGGAGTGATTGCATTTGGGCTCCCCAAATTATTTGGTAGGCTTCTGCAGTTGAAACTCACCTGTGTGGAATCCACTTGGAATGGAATGACGATTTTTTTTTTCATATTATTTTTATGATTTGTTTTCTGTTTTAAAGTGTAATTTTGGTTTTCAGAAAATCTGTTTTTATCTGGGGCCATGTGTCTGCTAGTGGATATTTGAGGGAAAGAGGTGAGCTGTGTAATGCCTGCAGGAAAGTCATCTGGTTTTTGGATACAAAGCTTAGGCACTCTAAGAATGTTTGAATTTGCAAGAATGTGGAAATATTTGGTCTGAGCATTTTGGTCTCTCCAATGTAACTGAGGAAAGAATCATGTGCTCTGAACTACAGTCACTGGTGATTTCAGCTTTCATGAAGGGTAAATATTTTTTGTTATTTTTGCATTGTCCCCCTTCTAAAAATTTTAAGAAGAAATAACATAGTATTGTAGTCTGGAAGGCAGAGGGAAGAGACCACAGGGAAGAACAGGAGACTACAGAAAAAATAAAACAGAGAAGAAAGGAAAGAAGCAAAGAATGGAGATTAATACAAGAGAGAGGTTAGAAAGCAGGTGAAAAAGCATGAAGAGGTCTTGAATATTTTTCTGTCTGTATGCTAAGAATACACTTGTTCTGTCTCTCCAGGAGGTTTATGCCTTGTGGGGAAGCAGCAGTGAATTGCTCCTTTGGATACTAAGTGTAAAATTAAAACTGGCAGGGTCTGAGAGCACAAGACTGGGAAGCTAATCGCTCCTAATAACATATTGATTTTCAGAGATTTCTGGCATTATGTCAGGGCAGTTTTGAACCAACACCTGGTTTCTTCCTCTCCCCATCTCCAAACTAATGGCAATGAAGCTTCTGGCATTGGGATCACAAATAAATGTCACTCGATCTTTTTTTCTGTACAAATCAGTGGGGGTCTCAAATATGGTTTCATATATTGCTCCTGTGCATGTCTGTGTGAGACTTCCAATATAAGAGCAACCCTAAAAGTAGAAGGGTGGAAGGAATCTGTATGTATTTTATACTTAGATAACTGTGTTGTTGCCAGATTTATGGTGCTGAGCAAAGCATTACAGTTCCGTTGCTGGAAATGGCTGAGGATAATGGAATGGGTACCTGTATTCAGGCAGAAGTCTCTAGCACAGGTGCTTGGGAGGTTGAGGTCATGTGCTTGCTGCCAGGTTACATTCAACCTTGAGCAGATTTTTCGTATGTGTTGCTCAGCTGTAACATGCCTCCCTCAACCTTTGGGGACTGACTGTCAGGACAAGAACATAGGTTTTATTTGTATAGCTGCTACTAGGCAATACCCTCCTCCTAAGGGGTGTTTCTGTAGCTGGAGGGAATGGTCTACTTCCAAGGAGATGTGCTGGAAAGGCTCCCAGATACTCCAGATAGTGAAGACTTGCAAAGTGAGAATTAAATCTTGTTATTTTTTAAATACGTCAAGTGCATAGCTGGGCTGAGCTGGACCAGGCTGAGGTCAGCATGGAGCACAAACAAGAACAGAACATTAAATTTTATCTGCTTATTGTTACAAGGCTTCATTGCCCCCTATTTGTAGCAGGCTGGCCAGAGAAGAAGAGTAATACATGATTTAGGCTACTGTGGGTTGTCAGCGGAAACACTGTCCAGACTTTTGTGTCAACATCAGCAATTCTGAGTGTTCTTCAGGTCCTTCTTACGTAAGTATAATAGTGAGGGTTGGGATCTCTTGTCTAAGGACAGTAATTATCTGACAATGGGATCAGTGAAGCGGAAGGACACGAATTCTTATTGAAGGGAAGAGTGTCATTATTACCATGCTTTTGGTTTGTTCTAAAGTCCACAGAAAAATTCATGTTTTGAAAGCACCTAATGCATGGCACTGTGGAGAAAAAAGCAGCAGAGCTGGGACAGTTGTGTCAGCTACTCCCACTCATAGTCCTGATATCCTCCAACCCCCTCCTCCCAACTATTCATGTGCTAGGGCAAGCAACTGTTTCATGCAAGGCACATCTGAGCTGAAGGCGTCAAAAGAGCCATTTCATGCTTGACTGCATTTTCTAATACAATCTGCAGAGAGAGAGGAAAGAGAGCAAGGAAGGTTTGTGTGTACATAGGCATTGCCTTTGAATGTATGTATAATATACAGTACATTTAGTTCCAGCTTGCAGCTCTGGGTTGCAAGTAAGAGGTGCAGACATGAGGGGGAAGAGAATTGCACTTTGAAAAGAAGAAACTATTCTCCCACCTTGAAAAAGGTTTCTTGGACAAATGAAGATGTGAGTCCCCAGGGCAGCACTGACAGCTGGTACCCAGAAGGTGTTTTTAATGGCTGAGTGGGTGATGTGCGTAGAGAGCTTTCTGTGTACAGACCATGACAGTGTGTGGGGAGTGCAGCTAGGAAAACTCGTGAATAAGGATGCTGTTTGCAGACTTCTTAATGATGCTCCCAGAAAATTTTCTTCTTAATATGTTTGTATGTCCTGTGACTGGAGAGTTTCTGCATACTAACTGTTAGTGTGGTGAGTCACTGCACCAGCACCACCGTAGTGATCCCCTCCAAATGTTTTGGAACCATATAAACGTCTCCTCTGTCACTTTATCAGCTTGATATTTATATCTCTATTTATTACCTCATTTACATATTTATTGCTTTGGAATTCTGTTACTGGCCACTGTGGAGCCAGTTATGGGTCTTTTACAGCATGGACATTTGGCTGTTCCTCAGTTTCATCCATCTACCCTACTCTACCATCTAACACTAGGACACTGAGAAGGTGTACTGTTTGGCTCTGCCAAACTTGCTCTTTCCTGCTAGAATCATCTAGCTCCTATCATCTGGGAAATATGGGAAAAAGGAGTGAAACATAAGGAGAATATTTAGATTCCAAATACTTGTTGCAGTTGGTTAAATTAGATGGGCTGTTAGCTTTCTGGGGAGTGTGGGGGATGCCTGATGAGAATCCCAAACAATCATTTGAGAAAACTTTAGGTGAACTGAGCTGGATGAGACACTGGTAAAAGTGCTTTATGGAGCAATCCTTCCATGTGCCTAGGAGCTAACTGGTCTATTTTTTTTTAAACCTCTGGGATTTTTACATGTAGGTTTGTGGTAGAAATTCTACATGAAGCAATCTCTACAACCCTGCCTTTGGTAGGGATTGACTATGGTGAAAAGGAATGCTCTGATTCATACATTAATATATTTATGTAGATTTTTCAATTTTGGAGATAAAAATGCTTCTCAGCATACTCCTGGATTGAAACAACAATTGCTATGCTGTAGTGCTTGCTGCAGTTCTGTCACAAGACTTTAATTCTAACCTCTCTTAGAGGAGAATATCACTTTCTGCAAGCAAGACCCTGAACAAATAGAGAATGCTAAGTATTATAACTCCTTTCCTCAGCTGAACTTCCCATTTTCTTTGACATCCTCAGAGCCTCAGAGATAATAGAAAAATGTAATTTCTTTCTTGACTATTTTGTTGTTGTGTTTATGTTTTTGTTTGTTTTTTTTTTGCGGGGGGGGGGTGGTTGTTTGTTTTTTTGTTTTTGGGGGTTTTTTTGTTATTGGTTTTTGGGTTTTTTTGTCCCTCCTCCTGGCTTTCATTGGGCCTCCATCTCCTAAGTTCAAGTGTTTGAATGACACTCAAACTTGCAATGGAGTTTGGTTTGGTCCTTTCTTCATTTGTGTCAGTTGTGTCAGCAGAGCTCTACTAATGTAGCTTGTTAGTAAAGAGTGAAAAGATATAAAATCACAAACCAGAACAAATCTGATGTAGAAAAGACCTGTTAGGACATTCACTTTATACAGTTGTTTTTCTTTAAAGTGGTAGCAATGAAATTAAATTCCTCTCAATAAGCAACAGGAAGAGTACCAGAAATCGGAACTCTAGTCATTACAGTTAGTCCTGTGGAAGGCTGGACTTCAGAACACTGAAGGAGGTTGCATTTTCTGGAAGATGTGAAAAACAGAGACTTTGCTAGTTCATAATCACAAAAGGGCCCTGTCCTAACACACTTGTCCTTGGGGATTATGTGTCCATGGGTACTGCTGACTCCAGTTGTGGTGAATACCATATCTTTGTTGCTGCTCATACTTGCCATGTAGGGTTTCTGGATGCAGTTAAACAGTTGTTGCATTTTCCCTATGTAACATAACTTTTTGTGGCAAGTGGTATGATTTCTGTAGACACAGTGCTCTCTAATAGATGACAGGGTTCTTCAGGTATGAAGGTCACACAGAGGTGTAACTTCTTTTAATTTTTTGCAATTGTTTGCTAATTTCTTTGCAGAGGCCTCTATCTTGAGCTATGATGGCAGCATGTACATGAAGATCATCATGCCTATGGTTATGCACACAGAAGCAGAAGATGTGTCCTTTCGTTTCATGTCCCAGCGTGCTTATGGGCTGTTGATGGCAACCACCTCACGAGACTCTGCTGACACTCTGCGCCTGGAGTTGGACGGAGGCCGTGTCAAACTTATGGTCAATTTAGGTATCGTATAAAAACCTTCCATTGCCCTCTTCACTATTAATTTGGGCTTGTGATTAGTGGTTTTTAAAAATAATTTCATTTCATTTATGTTGGTTTGATTGGATTGGATTGATTTCTAAAATAACTGCTGAGACTTTCTTAACTATATTCTCTTGCAAAATTCTCTTCTGCATTGCTGCATGAAGATTTGCTGTCAGTTCTTCGTTATGGACAGTGTTGGTTTTTAAGTCCTAAAGTTTTTAAGTTTCCTTTCTTGATCTGGGACTGGTGAGCTCTGTGTGAGACATGCTGCTTGGTCCATCTTTTGATCAGTTACATCCCTCATTCATCCAGCATCACTCAAAACAGTCAAAGGTGAACATAGACAGGAAGTAAAATGGATATGGTGGCAAGCAGAAGTCCTGTGAATCCCCTACCCTTTACATAGTTTGGCAGTATTTGATACAGCTTGGCATATTTTACATATCAGTTTAAAAGCCTTTTTTTTTTTTTAATTGTACCTTTATTAAAAAGAAGGTAACAATAAAAAAAGTGTATTCCCCCATCCCAAAGGGTTCTGTTCTGTCTCCTCAGAGTTACACTTCCTTGGAAAATAATTAAAAAAAGACAACTGGAAACAAGTCCAATAACAACAACAATTAAAAAAAAAAATTAGGAGTGAATGTGCTATTAGATTAGCATCAATTAATTTTCTTGACAGTCTTTAAGTATTCTATGGAATGAAAAATAGCCTTTTTAAATAATGTAAATACATGAGATGAAGCTTTCTTTCACTTTTCAGTGATGCAACTTGTTGCTTCATGTGTATTCAGGAATATAACTAAAAAGAGGTTCTGACTCAGAGAAAAAACTAACATGATAGTCTGCAATGTTAGAACTCTTCTAATGTGTAGGGTATTCTTTATGAAGATGTGTGTATGGTACATGAAAGCTTGAGTCAATTTTTAAAATTCTAAGCCCCACTGGAACAAACTTTTTTGCATTTTTTGACCTAATAGTATCAGCATCTTAAAAGCCCTGTTGTGGTGTTATCAGGAGAAAAACATGTAGTGGCTTTATAGATATGTTATCCTCTGGAACTAGCTTGTTTTTTAAAATGTCATCTGGTGTCTTTTTTTTTTTTGGCAAGCTAGACCATTAATTTTTGCTTTTGGAATAAGAAAGTAAGAGAAGAAGATGCATCAAACAAGTTCATATCTCTTAAAAGCAAAGGTCTATAGAAAGGTCTATCTAAAGGTCTATAGAAACTCTTGGATTTTAGTAAAAAAAAAAAATAAATTGCATATTTGCTCTGCTTAGCTTGACTGAAGAAGTGTAAAGCAATATTGAATGTTTAGCTAGCATAAAAGCACTTGCTGCGCTATCCAGACTGGCCTAGAGGACAAATAGAATAGATGAACTTCAGCTATGACAGTAACTTCTCAAATAAAGAGAAACAGCACTCTGATGATAACCATCTCAGCCTATATTAACTTTAAATGGAGGAAAATTTCATAGATTCACATGGTGCCTCTGGAGAACAGCTCGTAAGAGATGCTGTTGAGCATTCTTACATGTACAAAGAGAATTTTTCACAAAGCTCCAGAACGTTTTTGTATCTATATGTGTGTCTGCATTTTCTTCTGATCTAATCAGTTGCTGCTAATAATAAAGAAAAATGAGATTATTTTTTCACCACTGTTTTCTTTCTTCAAAATTATTGCTAGCTATTTTTTTCTCAGAAAATAAAATTAGTTGCTGAAAGATTGGTAGTGGCCTACTTCTGTTGGGGAAGTAATGGGGAGCTCAGTATCTACTTAGCTCTACACTATCCTCTTGTAACCCAGAGCCAATTCTTTTACTTTTATGCCTTAGTTTCTCTCTTTGCTGAAAAGAGAATTCTTTGCAACCTGAAAGATTTGTGCTACTATTTTAATAAGAGCTGCTTTTATCACCTTTGATACTCCCACATGATAAGTACTACAGCTTGAAAACTTTCAGACTTCATCACAAAATTATCACTTTTTCTCCTGAAAAAGGTACCACTTGTTTGATTCTGTTATATCTTCATCTTAACAATGAATAAGTCTGAGGGAAATTTTGGATGTTTAGGGCCTCCTAGACGTAGACCCTATGTGAATATGAGGAGGGTAGATTTAGATTATCCTGAATATACTTATAATTTTTTACAGTTTATTCTTTCCTTTCTGGTTTTCATTATATCATGCCAGCAGACAATATATTCCCTTAGGCCCTGTCAACATTGTGTGCCTGGTCGGCACTGGTCACTTTTGCCACTCACTGAGGTCTGTTATGCCAGACTCCAGTCACCTAGCCTAGAGGTGGACTGTTCAATTCTTACTGTCTGGCAGTTAAAAGATGTAGCTAAAGATTTGACAGATGGTCTACAGATATTTGGAAAGAGATGTGTTTTTGACAGTTTAATGCAGGACAAAATCTGTAAACAAACTCCTGTGTTAACTGAAGGCTATTTTTGTGTAGTTGCACGGACTGAAGCAATGTGTATGTCAGATTTCCTAGCTTTTCAGCTGGAAACTTTTGTGAGGTTGAATCTTCCCCCAGTGTGACTGTAGGCTGCATCAGAGGAAACCTGTGAGCACTCTCCTAGAAGTGAGCACTCAACAGAAGGGTAGTTTAGACTGTTACAACCCAGATTCAGCTTCACCTCTCCTCTCTTCAGATTTATAAAACTGTTAGATCATTTCCTTGAAACAAGACTTTCCTTCTATCAAAACAGCACAGTTACCTTGCTGCTGAAGAAACAGAATTTGAGGAGGAATGGCCTTACCAGAGCCATTCATTTCCAGTTGTTTACTCTAAGTCACATCTAACTCCGTAAGGAGACTATTCATTACCCAAATGTCACAAACAAGAACCAAATCTTTATCTGACCTTGCCAAAATCCCCTTACCAAGACAGATGTGTGTAAACCAAGACTGTTTTGAGTGGTGAGTTATTTAATTGTAGTTTTCTTATAAGTCATTTAATACTATTACTAAGAGCTGTCTCTTCTCTTCTTTGATCTATTCCATTTGATTACTTATCATTTATGTGTTTATTAAGGTTTTCCTACCTTGTTTTTTTTTTATTATTTTTTTTCTCCTTTTTTTTTAGATTTTTTTTTTTAAATTTTTTTAAGTATTCTGTGTATTTCAGTTGTAAAGCTTTCCCATACCCCATCAGCCATGGTAAATCAAAAGATGGTATTCGACCCTTCAAAGGCCTGAAGCCTGCGGCCCGCACAGCAAACAGCCCTGAGAACAGAGCATACGGAGCAGCCTGCAGGGGCTGGCATATCCCACTCACCCCCTCAACACCCAGTGTCCAAACCAAACAGGGGAGAGACAGATAGTCCGGCAGGCATGGGTGGGCATGGGCAGCTGGGTGCTTGCTGCAGAAGGTGGGGGGGGAAAGGAAGAGCAGTAATGAATAATTTTCTGAGCAAGAGGGCAAGGAAGTTGTTTCATACCTTTCCAGTGTGAGTGCCCAAGGCACTGCAAATCTGCATGTTGACAGCACGTCTCTCAGTAGTCTGAGTGTTTGTTGTGTGAAGAATAGAAATCTAAATGTGATATATATCTCACTTCTGCTGAGAAGGACTTTGAAGTAATGGGTATGGAGTGGAAGGAGAGAGAGAAATTAAGTAAATCATGGCTTGGAACATGCTTGGGAATAGTTTCTGATGCTGAGATGATGTACAGAAAGGGAAAGAAATGGCTGGTCTGATAGGGACATCCACCTTCACGATTTCCTCACACTGATAAGTTGGAGGGTTAGTGTTATACTGACCTTTATTTAAGAATATTTCAGGTTTTTTTCTTTCTGCTCCGGCATATCTTCAGGTCACTGGTGACTAGGATAAATATTTCCTACTTCCTCTGATGTAAGGAAGTGTAATCATCCTTCTCATCTATCTTTTCCTAAGATATATCCTCAAGGATGTCAGAGACACCTTTACCTCTACAAAATGAAAAGTATTTTTGTCATTCCTACATACAAGTAGTGCAAGTAGGAGAGAGGCAAGAAACCTCAATATAACGTGAGGTAAGAGTGTGCGTGGGACTTTATCTGGTTTCCCCACAGGAGATAACCTAGAGTGAGTTTAGAAACAGTCAGGCCCCAAATATCTTTTTTGTGCTATTCTTGCCTTAAAGTACTCTTCCATAGCCCCATATGGCTGCTTATCCAAAGGAACAAACATTTTTAACTCACACAGCAAAGGTGACTTTCTTTCCTGATTCAAGGATAAAATGGCCAGGAGCCTTAGCAACGTCAAATAAATATCACTATTTTCAGACACAAATATAAATGGTAAGAAACACAGGCCTAATTTGCAGTTACTTCTGTTTGTTACTAAAGATACTTCTATTCAAACAATGAATTAATGTTAGCTAATTGCAGTGGAGCTATACCTTTTCCAAGGAGAGGGTCTTTGGCCCAGTTTCTAGGTGATATGCTCTGGAAAATACTCCATCTGAGCTGTTTTGGGCACAAAGACCAAACTAAACCTACTCCCTTACTGCCAGGAAAAATCTCTCTGTTTTGGATTTGTACCACTATACTAGTTTAGAGGAAAATAGTATTTTTCTTCCCTTTTAAAAACTGATTTAAGAGGAAGGAAGAGAACAGCTTCATGTATTAATGGTTGGAAATTTTTGAGGTGCTTTGGGCAAGACTCACAATTAAGGAAATGAAAAAAATCAAACCTATGCGTGCAGTGTGGAGGGTGTGGTGATGCTGGTGTAGCAGTGCAAGCAGATTCACTCTCTTACTTGCCATGCAGGATCCCCAGTGACCCAGCTGGATAAAATCTGGTTCAGGAGCTGGTTCCTTTGGAGTGCACCTGAGCATTTCTACCTGGCACCCAATTGCATGGCATTGCAGAGCTTTTGTGCTCACATTCTGGAGATAAAATAGCACCATGTAGTTGTCAGGGCAGCTTCATCAGTGGCCTGGTCTTTAATCCTTTGAAATAGAAGTCTTGCAGCCAGGATAAGGGCTACACTGGTTTTCAGTTTGAAACATCTATCCTTTCACCTGAAGTAGTGACTGAGCCTGTGGGTAAGACCCAGGACATAAAAAAAAAAAAAAAAAAAAAAGAGAAAAAGGCAAACTTCTCTGCTGTGGACCAGCCATGTTTCCCTTTCCAGCACACTCTTCAGCCCATAAGAAATTCCCATGTTGTTCCAGCTGTAACAACTCTCTTGACTTCACTTGGAATGAGACTTGGGAGTCTCTCATTGCTGTCACTTTCCATCAAGTCGTAGAAGGAAACTCCCCTGCATGTACTTCAGAGCTCCCCTTACCCCACCCAACTCCTCTAAGGGATATAGCCACCACTGTATGGTGATTGTAGCAATTGCTCCAGGGCTGTTTGCTCCCACTTTTCTGTTGCGGTTGACGACACATGACAAACCTAATCGCACAAAACCAAACCCAGATTTTCTTAGGAGAAGTTCTGCTTGAAAACAGACTCTCTCTGGCTATGTTACTCCTGATTGGTGTGTCCCAGCCATTACAGTGCTCATTAAAGCTCTATTTATTATTTATAGACTCTTATTCTTTCCCCTCCTTTGTTTTTTAAGAACGGCATTCAGTGTCAGCTGCTGAAATAATTTTTCTACATTTGTATGAGTAAATATAAAATTGGTCCAGTTAAGTAGCAAACTGCATTATATTTCTTTGCCATTCTGTATAATCTCCCTTTCTGGGCCATATCTCTTTAATAAATATGACCATTTCTGCTGGTTAAAGCATTACTTGTCCAGGTAGAGTGCCCACTAGCATGGTGCTATTATTCATGGCCTTGGTTTCCTGAGAGAAGGTCAGCATACCAAGATATGTAATAGCACTGATACAATAGCTCTCGCCCACGTTAGACACCACAGCAGTGGACATTCACAAGTAAGTAGGCATTTATAAATGAAAGATCCTCTTATGGATCATAACCTGAGATATGCTGAGCATTAGTGTGTTAAATGAGAGAAGCAATGCTCAGAAGCCCTCTAGCTCAGGCTCTTCTACCTCAGCTTGCTTTCTCTTCAATTACCATTTCTTAGATTCTACAAGCATAACTCTATTTTTCTTTCCATGTACCTCTCTTTGTCCCTCCCTTACCTGTAACATCTGAATGAAGCAGGGCCAGCAAAGGTTCCCAGATCTGCCACTTCACTGCACATTTCATCTTCTCCCTGAACGCTACAAACACCCCATTGAGTCTTAGCGTTCAGACAGCAAGATGAGATTGGGCTCTGAGGAACTGGCAGGGCTGGGGACCTTTGAAAGAAATCCCCGTTCTCCCTGCCAAGCCCCCCCAAAAAAGTATTCCCAACCTCCAGAAGTAGCTGAAATCTGGGCTGGGCGTTCGTGCGGTTAGCTGTTTGCAAGTGGCCATTTTATGATAGGACACAACTGGGCAGTATATTAACCCTTTCCTCACCTGAGCGGACAATGTCAAATGTCTCTGTGCACATAAAAAGTGTTCTGGGCTGGCATTGGGGGAATGAGAAGAGGGTCTGTCTTTGGGAGAGCTGGAAAGGGTTAAATATTGCACTGACAAATCTCATAGGCTGATTTTACAGGTATTCTGTGTTGACAGATGGTGTATTTATGCAATAACAATAAGAATTAATTAAAAAGAAACCAAGTGTAAAGGTTGACTCTGACCTTCAAGCTTCTTAGAAAAATTGCTAAAGGTTTCTAAAAAGCAAAATGACACTGGAGTATGACTTGTGTTTTGAGGGAGATTTTTATGCCTTAATTATAAATTTTTTTACTGTAATTCACATCAGTACATGGTCTGGAGTGGAAGATACTCTTAGATGTGTAAGTTTCTATAAAAAGGAAAGAACCTTCTGTGTCAACATGTGGATATATATGTATATTGGTATATTTCTCTATACATATGTATATATATGTCTATATATATATTTATGTAACAGATATTTACATAGAATATACTGTACATATACACCCACTCCTGAACTTGTACAGACTGTATATAAGTATAAAATGGCCACATCTCTTTGCGTGTGTCTGTCCCCGGAAGGGTGGACTGATTGTTTTTGGATGTCTGCAGCTGTTACCTTGAAGGATGCAATTTCATCTTTCATTTATTTTTCCCCATCTAGACTGTATCAGGATAAACTGTAACGCCAGTAAGTTTTCCCTCAAGTTTCATTTTGTTCTCTTTCTATATATATTAAAATAACTTTATTTTCTTTGCTGTTTTATAAGCTGCTTTTATTTTCTTTTTCTTTTTTGTTTCTTTAAAAAAAAATCTGAAATTGAAGGGTTGGGTGGGATATGAAGCTGGAGGGGGAGGTGGGAAGACCTTAAGGTGATTGTATGTGAAAATTTTGTATTAGGTTTTTCCAAGGAGGAGATAAACTGTTATTTCATAGCTTTGCAGAAGAGCACCTGTGGAACCTGATGAGCTGATATTATGTTTCACTGGTACCCTGTTGTCTTTATGAAAACTTTTAAAGAACCACATAAGAATAACAACAGGTGCTGTATGCACTTCTCCACTACAAAAAGGCATGAATATTTAAAAACAAAACAAAACAATATTCAAACTCTCACTTTATTACAGAATGGCAACAACTTAACCTGATATTTATTCAAAGTAATTTTATTTGGCTATAGAATAAGGAAAAATTAGATCTTACATTTTGAGTATATTATATATATATATATATATATATATATAACTGACTACTCCTAGGTTTCTGTAATAAACTCCATCTGAATTTTTGGGTCCCTGAAAATTCCATTCAGTCTGTAGAAGTAGGGGGAAAGGATTGTAAAATCTTTGTGAAAAATAATAGTGAAAGATCATATCCCATTCTAGACTGACTGACCAAGCCAAATCTTTTCTGCTCTACTTCAAAGAGCTGATCTAAGTTGATGCAGGCCTCAAAGTAAAAAGCACTTCCCAGAGAATGGAGCTGCTTAGCTCTCAAGTGTGCTTTGAGGCTTATCTTACTTGTAACCAGATTCCTGAACTGGCAGATCCTCAGTATTAGATTTTATGTGGAAGTATTTATGGAAGACTAAGCATCACTGTGGAAATGCTATGAGGGATTAAAAACCAAGGATGGTCCATGTGTTTTCTAGAGGCTGTGGCCTTTTCCCTCATCACTGAGCTGCATCCAAGCTAGCAGAAGTGTGTTGCACCCCCAAAAGAAAACATAGAGCTTTCAAGTAGTAAAACCAATTGTAGCAGCACCGACGAATCTAATTCAAAAGCAGTTTCCTAACAGTTTTGTCATAGTTTGGGTCTAAGAATAGATTGTAGTGTTAGACAGCAGACAGCATTTCTTTGTTTTTGTTTTTGTTTTGTTTTTTTCCTTGTGTGTATAGTATTTGTAGAATTTAAAAGCTTATCTGAGGTTGCAAATAGGGAAAAAATACATAATCAGACAATAAATTCTGATTCCCCTCCTGGTCAGTGTCAGCTGATTCAGACCCTACTTTTCAGGAAGTGCAAGGAATTAGTGTTTTGGTCTTGGGAAGTGATCCCTAGAAGCCTATTGCCAGGGACAAGCCCTGATGTGCCACAGGACCTGGTTCATGATAATTTGTTTTATTTAAATTATTAAACTGTTATCTCAATCCATGGGTTTTACCTTTCTCTGATTTTCCTCCTCATCCCACTGAGGGGAGGAGAGGCATAAGCAAGCAGCTGTATGGTACTTAGTTGTTGTATGGGATTAAACTGCTACGAGTGGGATCAGTCAGTGTATGACTAAAATCTTGACGGGTCTTGTTGCATTCCTTTTGCTCTTTGAATTTTTCACACTGTATCTCGAGATAGAATGCACAATAGGAAAAAAGTGTCTTGAATCTAGTAGCTGAGATTGCCAGATTTTACCCAGTGATGCTGAGGACATTTACATAAAAATAGGATCTTTTGCTTCCTGAGAGTTCATCTGCTTTTGCTTCTCAGCCACCTGTAACTCTGTCAAAACACTTGCACCACATTTCTTCTTGATGTGTGTCACCTGAGGATCCATATCAGTTCCTTTGGTACTGGACAACTATCTGATGTTTTTGTTAACATCTTCAACTTTTCATGACAGCTGGCTGTTAAAGGCTTAGCTATGGAAGACTGTCTTCAGGTGGAAAATCAGCTTGAGTAGCAATGGTTGGGTTTTTATGAAATAAAAATTCAGCACTAATTGGAAGAAGAAAAAAAAAGAGGGAAAAGAGAATCCTATAATCAGAGCAGTGGGAAGATAATCTGAATTCAGTGCCTTTGTTGTTTTCCTCATAAGCATGAAAACATCTTGAATCATTTTGCTACTATGCATTTTTAATAGTTGAGCCTGTTGCATTTTTCAATGGTCTTCCCATGAAGGTTTTAATTTATTTAGTTAGTTAGTTAAAGCACTTTGGATCTTCCTAATTTATTTTTATGATACTTTGCTGAAAATAAGCGACTTTGCTTTTAGTCCCTCCAACATCTTGTATTTTTGCTACCTGTTGCAATTATTCACATCAACTGTCTTGCTTTTTAGAAGGAACCTACTGGGGATTGGTGAAAAACTTTACCCTTGCATGAATAAAATATGGTTGGGCAGAAGCAGACCTAATATCACTGTAACCACTGCTGCAGGCACACTGACATTTATTTACTTGTGCAGAGGGAGTTATCCACAAACAGATGAGTCTGCCAGGGTCTGTTGAAAAGAGCAGAAGTGTTTTAAAGTAACTAGACAAATGGGATTCCCAATCATTTAAAGATCTTCAAGTCAAGCAGTCACCACTGCTAACTGAACAGAAGGGACCTGGTGCATGGTTTTAAAGGTAAACAGAGCTGTACTTTTGGGGTTTCTTGGAACATGGAGGTTAAGAGCTTACCACTTCAAGCACTGAAGCTCATGCTATGTGAGAGGAGTCTTAACATACTGTTCCAGGTAAGCATTTAATTTTCAGTGTACTTACTCTTAATTTTCATTGAAAGTACTGAGTGTTATTGTCTTACCTATCTTGGGTTGTCATATATCTGACACAAAATACTGTTTTCCATCATTTCATCTTACCCTCTCTCTCTTCTTACCACTATTGTATTTCACAGTCCTGAAATGGTAGACTGACATACTTTCCTAGTATTGAAACGTTTTTTACTGTCTCTGTATTTATTTGAATACTCATCCTTTCCTTTCATTTTTGAAGATACCTAAACTGATCTTATCTGTTTCTCCACACCGACAGAGTTTGAATTTAGAAGGACACAACAGTGCTGTTTCTCACACATATGTAACTATATAGTAATATCTTTTCCTGAGTGTGAAATCAGCACAACTAAAAGCAGGACCAGGATCTCCAAAGAAACTGTGTGAAGGTTCATTGAATGATTCTTCGACACAATGCAAACATAATGGATAGCACAGTTTTGTTGGTTGGAATTAGAGGAAAATAGGTATAGTCTAAATACCCTTAAATATTTGCCTACATATATTTTGGATTTTAAAATAGCATTTCTTAAAGAAAGCGCTCCATCTCCTGTAAAATGTTTCTTAAAATACATGGTTCAGTTTAAAGAAAGTTAAAGGTGTGATAGTTTTATAGTTTGTGTCATATCTAGTGCTCTGACTTTTCTTCATTTTTTTTTCAAAGATATCTAGTCCTTAATTTTCTTATTCCTTTTCCTGTGATCCCACTTTATAAAAGATCAGATGGGGATATTTTCCAACATTCTACCCAATATTAAGTGTGGAGGACAGAGCTGTGTGTGCTACAGATTTGTTAGCTTTTGGAGGTGTTTCCACTCTATTCTTTCTAGGATACTACTTGTATTATTTTTCTTGGCCTAGTTCTCTGTCCTTCTCTCAAGCCTTTTATGTGGCATATCAATAGTTACAGTCACACACTTTGACACTAGCTCTTTGTGAGGTTTGATCTTTAAAAGGTAGTTGCTTGGGACAGTGAATACTTCTGTCTTATCACTTCTTATTTCATAATGAAGCCTTATCTTCTCACTAAAGCATGCCAGACAAGTCATAACCTATTTTCCTGTCACTTGTGATGCCTCAGAAAATCTGGATCCTCTTCTTCTACTACCTGTTACTAAAGACACAAACGTAAGAGAATGAAAAATCACAGTCCAATCATTACTACACAGGTAATCCTGTGTCGCTGTGAGGTCCCACAGTTAACATGTTGTTTCAAATCCAGTAATTTTTGACTGGTCTTTTACAATAGAAGACAGCTACAATATGAGATTGATTCTCCCATCTCAATTGCCATGCTTGATGTATTTAGTGCCTTATTCAGTGTAATGTTAATGTTTCATTTTAGTAAGTACCCCTGTAACAGCATAAAATATGAATCTATGAGGTGTAACTTTCTGTGAGAGGTTTAAAGTTTTTTTCTTTTTCTGTATCATCACAAGTAAATAGGAAGCCGTGCTAACTCTAATCTAATCAAAATGTTGTAAAACCAAGTGCACTTATCTGATTCCTAGTGATATTGCTGTCATTTTAATAAAAGCTTAATAGTACTCTAACGTGAAAACATTATTTTGAAAGTGAAGTGGTATCATTAAACATACACATCATATTTGTGACTGTAGTAACTCCTAACTCCATTTAAACATAATCAGGAAGAAATGAATACTTATGCAGCCTGAGAAGTGACAAGTCATTAGTATGTCATATTGTAGTGGTGAAAGCAAAGCTGGTGTCTGTAGCATCTGTACAGCCCGCTGTAAGAATGATCTCACCTTTGAATAGTCTCAGATTCAGTGTGCTGGTCTGGCCTCATGCTACTGCTGCTCCTGAATGCAGGAGAAACAAATGGAGCTAGCCTGTCTTTGGAAGACTTTTCCTTAAGGTAGAACAGCAGTCTTCACAGGTATTTTTGTCAGATGGTAAACTGAGAATTCTGTTAGAGGAAAATCTACCATGCTGGATCCAGCAGCCTGAGAGAGATGAGGCTACTGCCTCTTCTTGTTCCCAGATTCAGTCAGTAGCAAGGCTGAAGATGTATTGCTGGCAGGCCTGTTGATCACACGCACACTCACAGACCCACACTCTTCCCAGTCTCTGGCAGCAGGAACATCTGGGCCTACTGACCCATGGTCTGACTCCAGTTGCAGCACTCTCAGCCCCATACACTCTCATGCACCAATAATAGAGGGCCTTCACGCAGG